ATCGTTTTGTACTTCGCGAAAGTACTAACGTACTTTCCACTATGATACAACTCAGACAACTCTTAATCCACAGGAAATTCCGTGAAATGTCAATAAAATTATTTACAAATGAACTGAACAGTCAATATTTGATAACATTTTAAATGATTCACTTTACCTTAAACAGTACTGAAGTAACTAAGCTGGTGAAAAATCTTCACGTATTTCTTAAAGAAACCAGCTAATTTTTAACTTTTCAAAATTATTTCCGGGTCTCATGTTGTGCAAATATTTATATAAGTAAATGAAAAGAATGTAAACGCCGTGACAACGCTGTCATATGTAACAGAGCGATCATATTTTATCAAAACCTCTCTCATGACAAGCCACGCAAATTGCCCAGAGTTGTTTTAAAAACAGAATACCAGCTACACAATCTTATTCTGTAATTTTATCCTTACATATGACTTAATGGTGCTTTTAGATGAATGTATAAATTGTGAAAGCATACTTCGACACGCTGTGCCAATATCCATTTCCTAGTTGATTACAATGCTCTTGAAGACGATGAGTATCCACAAGTTGATTTTGTGAGAAAATCATTGTGAAAAATAACATCTGTATAAATCGCTTTTGCTGAAATATTCTTAGTAATTTTCACAATTTTAATGCACAATTAAAAATTCCTTATACTTTGTCTACAAAGAATTCCAGAATGGGGGGGGGGGACTTTGGAATCGCCAGGGGCTCTGCAAAAGCTTGATCCGCCACCCTGCTTACCCTAACTATCTTACCAATGATCTTATCCTGCAGTTTTTAGCTGAAAATACCAAATGTGGCTAGATTGAGAATGTTCTTGACGAGTCTCAGGGGGCATGTATCACTGAGAAATTTTTGATTTCGTAAAACAGTGAATCAAATGACAAATAACCAAGTTGTCCTTTAACTTTTACCACTTCAACCGAAGCAACTTCAATTCAGATGGCTGGACTGCAAACTTCTGTTTAGCAAAGGACTGTACACGGATGACGTCAGACGACTTTGCTCTTTTTAATCGGGTATATTAGAAGTTAAAAATGTTTAAAAAAGAGCAAATACCATGGTGAATGGTTAAAATAATAACGTAATAGTTCTTAAAAGAACTGTTTAAAATTAGAACGCTGACCCAACAATTCTAAAAGAACTGTTTTTAAAGCTGAAAGACACTATGCATTTCGGCAGACTACTCATCAGAGAAAAAACACCAAAATAAAAACTTACAGGCAATATACACATTTACTTTCTTTGTGTGTCAGCAGTATTAGCTATGATAGCAAATGTGTAAACACCACTGTTTGATCGACATTCTTTAACATCAGAGTTTCAGCTTCAAAAACTTGAAATGTTAAAGGCGATAAATCATATCGCGGTTCACCATTACCAGTTAACGTTACAAGTCGTAGCGCGACGTTATGTTCAGCGATCAAAAACATCAAGCAAATAATCACGCATCAAGAATTAATGCGCTAAACGTCAAACAAGAACCATCGCTGTTTATGCTGATTTCACAATTTCCATAATCCATTTATTTATTTTGATGAAAAAAACTTACTCTAAAGACAAAATAATGAAAGATCACGGAAACATTTGGTAACTGTACCTTACCTGTGGTTTACAACACCAAACGAAAAGACTGTTGTATAGACATGCTCATCTGAAACAAAGGAATCGATACATTATGAGAAGTTATAACTCACTAAGTGGGTTGCTTCTACGTCACGGCCGCCATATTGGTTGAATTCAACAAAGGATTTTTATTTTTTAGGTTTACAATCAAAATTTCAACCAAGATGGCGAGTATCTCTTTCTCTTTCAAGTCCTTGGAGAAATTGTTGCTTATTGAAACCACCAATAAAGACAAAAATTAAAGACGGTTTCCAAATTTTATTACAATGCTAAATGTTTTTTCATTTTCGAGGTGCACTTTGATAGTTGATGATGAGATGCAATTAAAACATTATTGGTGTTAAAAAGAAAAGCGAAAAATTTAACATGGAAGAAAAAGAATTTGGGATGCTATATTGTTGAGAATACTGCCAATGTACTGTTTGCTTACAAATACTTATCTTAGTACAACCATTACTAAAAAGATAATGTGAGATTTACCACAAACTTCATGAAGACCTAAACGTTTAAAACAATAATGGCTCGCACAGTCACCATTTTAATTCAGCTCGTGATGCACGAAGTCTTATTTTTTATTTTCTTGTATCAACTGAATTTATCATTTCCTTTCAACGACTGATAATTGTCTTCGTTATTCATTTTTGATAAATTTAGTTCTTGATAAGTTTTATCAACTGTTTCATCTTTTGGCCTCAGCGATTGATAATTATCTTCTTTATCCATTTTTGATAAATCCAATTCTTGATAAGTTGAATCAACTGTGTTTACTCTACCTTTAGCATTGGTCGACAGCTGCTTTTGTTTCTTATTCACCCACCGTTGACGACATCGTAAGAACACGAATGTAATAAAAATACCAAAAATAATTCCAGAAATTAAGGTTACCAATATAATGTACCATTTCGTTTTTGCCTCTGTTATTTTACATGTTTTAGAGTTATCAAAGGTTCTTGAAGTAGAAGTGAAGTTACCTAAAAGAAAAAGAAACTTTTTAGAATGACTATAAAGCCAGTTGAGAAGAGGATGACTATAATGTAAAGGGTATAATATGTATAAACATAGCCTCAAAAGTTTAAAATAGGACGAAAAATAGGGAGAATATAAATGAGGAGGAATAAAAGTTTAGCAATAAGCTGCATGTGTCCAGTCCACTATTAACTCGTGGGAGTACCTCGAAAATTATAACTTCTTTTATTAAAGATACCTTTGAGATTGTTGTTAATAGAAGTTGACGTTGAAGTAAAAAATGGCCTTGATCGACTGATGGAGCTGGATAACTCCAATACTACACAAAAAAACACAAACCATTAGCTTCGTCTTACCTTATACTTAATTCGATTTCATTTAAGAAATATAAGATGTTTACTGTGTTTGCACAGGTTTATGCAAACCGAGGAGACCTTTGGGAGAACTCGAGACCAGTGCAAGATTTTTGAATGCATTTTCAATAATATTATAAAATTGTTTACATTACGCTTATCCGAGATCTGCTTTTTGCTTAATGTTCAATCAAATGACTCAAGAACTGTCTAACCCTTTTTCATTTACGTCACGCCCTTGCTTAGATTTTACATCACGTGACTGTGGTCACATCTGGTCACATCCCGAAATAACAGGTAAAATTTTTGAGAAATGTCGAAAGCTTCTCTTTTCCAGATGTGACCACAGTCACGTGATGTAAAATCTAAGCAAGGGCGTGACGTAAATTAAAAAGGGTTAGACAGTCGTTGAGTCATTGGATTGAACATTAAGCAAAAAGCACATCTTGGATAGGCTTATTGTAAACAATTTTATAATATTATTGAAAATGCATTCATTAAATATTTATCTACTTCATTTTATAACCATAGTAAACAGCTGGACTACCCTCATGTACGCTTTGCGTCCTATTTTTATTTCTATTTATATTTCACATCCATACATTTATAATCTTTATGTGGATAAATCTCTGCTCTTACTTTCTTAGCGAATTTTACCTTTGATGACAGTGAGATTTTTAACATCAGATAAATCATTTCCCAGTTTATTATCTGCTTCACAACGATATGAACCAGCGTTACTGAAGTTGACAGATTGAATGATGTATGTCTTATTATTACTGATAACAGCATCATTGTGATAAATAGTGTAGGTTGGTTCAGGAAAACCATCTGATTCACAGGTTATTGTCACATTTTGACCTTTTATTGCATTTGTTTTTGATATGGTTAAGATCGTACTTCTTGGTTTATCTAAAATTAAAAATTCCAAATTCTACGTGGTTGAAAGCTCAAAAACACTATTGCAAAGAGTAAAAAATATATAAGTCACTTATTATTGCCATTTAATTTTACTTGCAATTACTAAAACTTACAATTTAATTTTATTTCAATGGATTTTTCGTCAATGAAACGTGGATCATTAAAACTTTCAGCTTTACATCTGTAACTTCCACGATCATTTGGTGAGGCACCAGTGATTACTAAAGTCGCACTCTCAACTCCAAATCCACGAACTGTTGTGTTATTTTTATCAAACCATGTGACATTAGCAGGAAGGATACCTCCTTCACCTCTACATACACATGACACACCATCATTTTCATTCACAAACAGAGGAGATGAACAGTTAATTGACACTGTTGGTTTAACTGAATTAAAGACAGAATCATAATAATAGTCATGATAGAAACAATAGAGTATTTATTTGTAAGCTTCGGTGAGGCAAGGGTAAAAACCGGATGAGGAATGTTGGATCTGTAAAGAATAAAATTTATTGTTGTATGTGCTGTGTATGGCAAACTTGATTGGTTCATTCGTAGTCACATGACTTAAAATAAACGTAATGTTTCCCGTGAGGGAAACAAGTGAAAAATTGTTGCGTGCTGATTTTAATATCATAAAAAATAAAACAGCTATGGAGCCGTAAACTAAAAGTACAAGTCTCTACTTTATTAAGCAACGAAATTCAACTAGTAATAGAAAAAAAAGATTGAGAAAACCCTTAGAACTGCTCCAAAAATGATGTGGTCGACCTTATAGCATTTTGTAACGAAATCTCGACGGACAAATCTCAACCAAAAGAGACGTTGATTTCATTGAAAAGCTGTGAAAATCTATGAATTTTGTTCCTATATAACAAAACACTTAATGTATACTTCCGTGAGAAATACTGAGCTTTGTTTTCCCTCGAATTGCATGCAATGTATTGAGACTCTTGGAAAACTAAACTCACTATTTCCCTTGGGAGCATACAATAAGTGTATAATATTCCAAAGTCCTGATATTTTACCACACGTTAATAATAACAAAGTTGAAGACAAAGTTTTCAAACATCTATAGTAACAAGATGATAAAATATATATCTGCAAAACTTACATTTTACTTGTATTTCAATGGATTTTTCGTCAATGAAACGTGGATCATCAAAACTTTCTGCTTTACATCTGTAACTTCCACGATCATTTGGTGAGGCATTAGTGATTACTAAAGTCGCACTTTCAACTCCAAACTCACGAACTGTTGTGTTATCTTTATCAAACCATGTGACATTAGCAGGAGGGTTACCTCCTTCACCTCTACATACACATGACACATTATCACCTTTACTCACAACCAGAGGAGTTGAACAATTAATTGTCGCGTTTGGTTTAACTGAAATTAAAAGCAGAAAATATTCATTAATTATGATAAAGAAAATGGATGCTGAAACAATCTTCTCCTTAACATAATGAAAAAATAAAGTCTAAGGAATTTTTCTGAAATTGCAAGGCTTTAATAAACTTCCAACTAATAGCTGAAAATAGCAAATATTTCTGTCACAATTAATGCAACGCAATAAGAAGTCCTAAGTTTTTATTGCCAATTTTGTGGTAAGAATTGCGCTGACGCATGTTATTTAGAATAAGCTGTTCTAGCAAAAAACTATATCTACTTTAAAGTAGCAATCCAGAGATACAGCAAAGTTTCAAACATCTTCTATCTTTTTAACTTGCGCTTGAGTCAACGTTAAACATGTTTTATACATGTCTGATTAAGTAATTCATGTTTTTTAGAAGTCAATCTTCTCCATCTCCTTTTATTTCGTGAAACACAAAAGAAGCACCCATTTCCCATAAGCTTCACGACAAAAAAGCTCCCCTTATCTGAGTGGCTAATACGTAATTAAACCCATCATTCGATAATCAACCAATAGCATGGACCAAATGACGGCCCAAGACATGAAATTTTAAAATTTATGTTTAAAATTTTATATAACAGGAGTAAATAATTGGGATGGCTTTGCCCGGCCTGCATGTAAAATAAGATTTTTTAGATTTGTCTTAAATTTCTTATTACAATAAAAAATGTTGGTCAATATCAAGTAAAATGTAAGCATAATTATCACCTATAATATGATATTAATAAGAACGTAAGAACCAGATAACAAATACGGCTAACCAGGCGCGGATCCAGCTCCTTAGCTGACCGATGCATTGCGAGCGCCGAAGGCGCGAGCCACCGCTAGGGGGGTCTGGGGGCATGCTCCCCCAGAAAATTTTTGAATTTTCACTATCCGAGAAGCATTTTCCAGCGATTTGGGAAAGGTGACAGAAAAATCTTAAGCGTAAATTTTATCGAAAAAATAACATGAGCCGTCTTTTGTTAGATAACAGCATTGATAAAAGCAATGTTCAAAGGTGGTCTTCTTCCAACGGTAAAAAAGATGAAAAGTTTAATGAAAGCAATGTTCAAAGATGGTCTTCTTCTAACGGCAGCAAAGATGACAACAATTATAAAAGCAATGTTGAAAGATCGTCTTCTTCCAACCACAGCAAAGATGAAATGTTTAAGAAAATCAATGTTTAAACGTGGTCTTCGTCCTCTCAATAACGGCTGAAAACAAGATAACTCTCAAAGAAAATGTAGGTTGTTTATCAGCATTAAGAATTTCTCATGGAGCTCATCGTCAAGCTTCTGTTTCTTTATCCTCCAGGATATCAAGAAATTGCATCCTCGTTGGGTTTTGTCTAGCAAAGGTATTAATCACTTCTTCGACATCACACTTAATATCATCATTAATATGCATTTGGGCTAATCCATTTAACCTTTCGTTGATCATTGTGCAACGTAACCAAGTTTTCATTCGACAAAGGGCAGAAACGGATCTTTCACACTCACATTTTTAATGTAATCCATACAATACATAAACTAAAATGCAACTAAAATCGCACCTACCCCTGCATATTACAGTTTGTATTATATTACATATGAATACAAGTATAAGTGCTGGATAAGTAATATGACATCGTGTATATTTTATGATGATTGTTCGTCGTTATCTACACGACTACACTCTGAGTCTGAAATGAGTACACTATTTACATTTAAAACATGCAAGCATAAAGGTAAATTTACTTACTTTAAAGCTCTTAGTTCTCCACTTTGCCAATGAACTGTCAAGTGCTTAGGTATTAACATTTCACTTGACATATCTCTCCCATTTTTACCCTTTGAAAAGGGATTCCAAGGAGAGGATTTTGAAATAAAAGTAGCAGCTCTCGTTTCATAGGTTCGACGCACTCCATTAATATCAAATGACTTCTCTTCTCGAAGCAGAGTACACAGATCGTGTTTGATATTCTCGACAGCCATGACTTCGATCGATGATTTCGAGTTATATCAAGTGATCAAATAACAATGCATTCAACTTTGAAGTTCAAAGTTGAATGCATCGGTGCCATGTGCCCACAATCACAAAATTATGGAAAATGCATCGCTCAGCGGCAAAATCTACCGTGACGTGAGGCCCTAAAACAATGGTTTTGCTGATGTCACAGTAGATTTCACGCGGAAAAGGACTCGGGACCGATGCATCGACCGATGCATCGCAAATCTACTGTGACGTGGCTATGGCAAGCCAAACCTACCAAAAGTGTATCGAGATTTATATGTCGTATTAGAATTACTATAAGTCTATTCGAGATTCGTAAAGCGGTACGAGTAGTGTATGACGAGATTTATATGACGAGTTGTTTTATAAACTGTGACGAGATTTATAAGACGAGTTTTATATGACGAGTTTCATATGACGAGATTTATAAGACGAGTTTTATATGACGAGTTTCATATGACGAGATTTATAAGACGAGTTTTATATGACGAGTTTCATATGACGAGATTTATAAGACGAGTTTTATATGACGAGTTTCATATGACGAGATTTATAGGACGAGTTTTATATGACGAGTTTCATATGACGAGTTTTATATGACGAGTTTCATATGACGAGTTTATATCGCGAGTTTTCCTCTAACAACATGAAGTATTGAGTTAAAGAACACGTGTTTGTTTCAAAAGCAGTTATTAATTATATGCAAAATTTCGGCGGGTTGGGAACTTTGTATTTTCTATCTATACTGTATCGCTCTCACCCAAATGACAGAAATGAGCAATAGAGAAATTATTCAGGAACTTCTTGGCAGAGTTACAGAGCTGTCTGAAAGAATATCACCTGACGTGGACAGTTCTGTAAGGTCAGAAGTGAGAACTATATTTGGACGGCATACGACCGCTTTGAATTTGCCAAATGCTGAAACGAGTCGCCAGAGAGAATTAACGCATCACCCTTATCAAATGGCATCAACAGCCACAATAGAGAATCGCCTCCCAATTAGAAGAAATTCAACCACTGCATTTCAATCGAGGCGCTATTTTCCCGCAAGTAGACCTGCTGCAAGAAGCCGAACAAGGCGAACTCGTTCATCAACAGCAATTGATAACAGGCCATTTTTGAGAGATTTAATCCTATTAAGCGGCCCCAAAGATAATACAGTTCCACGGCAAGGCACTCGGCTGATGTTGGTAGAAAATGGACACATGATTTCAGGTTGTCGGTTTTCAAAAGATTTGTCAGCCGCTGCTGTCGAAACTAATATAATGATGGCCTTTGATGGAAAAATTCCGCATGGTACAGATATAGAACTGTTAACATCGGTACATTCCACTCTGGTTGCGCCAACATTAGCCCCTGGTCAGACATTGGATGGTGTTATCCTCCACAGATTATACGCACAAAAGCCAGTGTATGTACGACCTAGTGTCCAGCTGCTTAACATGGGAAATGCAACAAAGGTTGGAGAATTAGATTGCTACATGCTCATCATGTAAATAGTGTGCTTTTAAAAACTGATATGTTGTTCATTTACAGGAACCAGGCAGCAATTCTAGTGAAGGTAAAATACATAGATTGGGTAAAAGCAAGGGATCTTTCCACATTTGTCATAAGAGAGGATCAAGTGATTGTACACTAAAATAATGTAAAAAGTATTTTTTTAAATTCAAACAAACTTTTTTTACAATTGTTTTTTTGTGACAGTAATATGTCGAGGTATATCATTTTATATTCTTTCTTTTAGCAAATCTATATAAATTTTCAGAATTAAGAAACTTAAGTCATGACTATTGTTCACCTTGATTAAATTATTCATATGAATTCAGATAAGACAGCTCTCATTTGGGCACTTAGCTTTTAAAATAGTTTAATTTAATTATTGTAGTCTGCATTCATTTTCACAAGATTTTAGTCACTCAGAATTTTTATTCTTTATAAGGTAAAGAAAAGCAATCGATTCAAATGAATATGCTTATAATGATATGCAAATTGTTATGCATTGCAATAGTTTTGCAAGAATTTGTTAAAAAATATGTTATATAGGAATAGATGAACCTTTGGATGATGATAATATAAGCATATCTGAAACCAGTGAAATTCATTCTGTGCCTACTGATGGTGTGGCTGAAACTGATGGTGTGGTTGCAACTGATGGTGTGGCTGAAACTGATGGTGTGGTTGCAACTGATGGTGTGGCTGAAACTGGTTCACTGTCTGCAACTGGCTCCTCAACTCAAACTAGCACACTCCTTGAAACTGATGATCTTACTCTTTTGAACGAAGCAGGTTCTCATCTTATGGCCTTGTTCTAATTTAGATTATCAATTCATAGATCTTGGTAATATGATTTGAAAATACTGGTATATTGTCTTTGTCTGAATTGCAATTGAATTTTTTCTGCAGGTGTTTTTCCGCATTGATAGATACTCCATTCCTGTCTTTGCCAGCTGAGAACAGAGAAGTAAGAGCTGTTATTGTGCACAGAACTACAATACGTCAAGATGTCATAGCCATTTTTAATGATGCAGATGTGCTTAATTGTTTGGTTTGCCCCACCGTGATTGATTACAGTGGCAGGGAAGAAAAGGGAAAGGAAAAGGAGTAATGCTGGATGTTTTGACACATTTTTGGCATGAGGTATACAACACCTACTGTTTCGGCTCCAGCGATAAGATTCCTATGATTAGGCACGACATGCAAAAAAATGATTGGCAGTCTATTGCTAGAGTTATTGTCTACGGTTACAACCTGCTGAAATACTTTCCTATGAAAATATCACCGGCACTGCTATGTACATGCTTATTCGGAGAGGACAATTTAAGTAGAGAGTTGTTGCTGAATTCCTTTCGTGACTACGTGACTCTTGAAGATCGCCGAGTTTTGATAATTGCATGAACGAAAATTGTGACCTCGAAGACGAAGACATTCTTGACTTTCTCTCAATGTTCAAGTGTTTTAAACTTCCGACGAAAGATAACATCAAGGAGATTATGTTCGAGTTGGCTCACCAAGAACTTCTTCAAAAGCCACGGTACATAATTCACTGCTGGTCTCCAGTTTTAAGAATGCTCCAATACGATGACATTTTTAAAACACAAGAAGACATTCTTCAACTTTATACCAGTAGGCAACCTACGGCCAAAAAATTAATAAAATTGATTAACGCCGAAACCGGAAATGAAATAGAGCGCCTTACAATAGATCATTTGAAAAGGTACATTCGGTCGTTAGAAGGTAAAGCTATCGAGAGATTTCTCCATTTCATCACTGGAAGCGACTGTATTACTTGCACATCGATAGAAGTAACTTTTCAAATCTAAGTGGACTCCAAAGACGACCTATTGCTCATACATGTGGACCTTGTTTAGAAATTCCTACCACATATGAGAGCTATGGTGATCTTGCATCTGAGTTCAATAACTTATTGAAGGAAGGACAATCTTGGTCATTTGACATTGTATAAAATTACGTTAACAGTTCGTTTTTACATCTTGAACAATGCTTATAACTACGTTTGATTGAAATTTTATTAAAATCGTTCGACTTATAATTTGTACACTATTGATATGTACGGACGATCAGAGATATATCTACGATCCAACTGTACAAATTATGATGAAGTCGTTTAAAGGAACAAACTTATTTATTCTTTATTTTGTTTGGAAGCTTTACTTACAATAATCGCGATATGGTTAAATGTGATAGGACCTTATCGCACCCATTTTCATTTTAAGGTAGCTAGTAAATAATTGGTTAGCACTATTTTCCACCCAGCAAACCGCCCTTTACACAATCGGAAATAAATTAAAGATGGCGGCTAATGGGAAAGAACCAAAAGCTAAAAGGAAACCATGCATGCACTGGTGCTAGGTCGTTTTGAGATGGCGAGTAATTTTATATTTTTATAATACAGTTTTTAATATCAAAATATGAAAATATTTACAGATAAATGTTGCAGTATAAATTTTCATGCAACCACCTTAAGCTATAAACTTATAATCCAGGCTGGAAAATATGTCGTTTTCGACGATTGTGTAAAATATTACATAAAATATTATATTGTGTAAAATATTAGATTGTGTAAAATATTATATTGTGTAAAATATTATATTTCAAAGTAAAGGACGGTTTGCTGGGTGGAAAATAGTGCTAACCTAAATAATTAATGCACATTCACACGCGGTAACATTGCTGACATTGCTTCAAGTATATGATCGATGCATCCTCTATTTATATTTGTTATTTACCTCGATTTTTGATCATAAATTAGTTCAATCACTGAACATAAAATGTGTTGACAATATCAAGTGTTTGTATGAAGTGATTGATTCCATAATTGCCGTCATCGCTTAAGGGGTTGACTTCACTACATAGAAGCTCCAGTTGTTCTTCCGTCAGCTGCAGTATGTTTTCAGGTACCACAACATAATTATCTGTATCGACGTCTGGAACTGGGCCATTTGAATCTAGACCATATTCTTCAAAGTTAACAATAGGAGATTCATCTGCAACAGGAATCATGTTCGTTTGCCAAAGTGTCATGGGGGTTTGGTGACCGGCAGTCCTTAGTCCATGATGGTTCCATTGCTCCCTGAATTCCAAAGTGACGCACTTACACGTGGTTTGAAAACGAAGTGAAGGGCGAATAGATGATGCTCATTGAACGGATCTAACAGGTTTTCGTTTTCCATGAATTTAAAGACACCAACGTATAGAGCAGAAAGAACCCGGTTTACTTCTGCCCACAACCGTTCTATCCTTTGGTTATGCACACTTCGCCCGGCAATGAAACTACCTCTATTCTCACCACGACGTGATATCATTAGCCGTGCTACGTCAACGTTTTCGACACCTCGATCTCCACGAACCCTTGAAGGCAAACCGAATTCATCAATCCCTTTTTTGAAAAGATCAACTACTGTCTGAGCTCTATTATCAGCGCAGCACTCTAGGTAAATGACTGCCCGACTAAACCCGTCGATGCAACCATGGATAACGAATCGCCAGGATATAAGCTTATGGTTTGAGTCAATATGCCAAAGAAAATTCGGCCCGGGAACGTTATAAACCCGTCTACAAATCGCATACCTCCTTCGCATATTTCTTCCAATAGTATCGATTCTCCGAAGACTTTCTCTGACCCTTTCTCTTTGGACATAGATCTTTCTAGCCCTTAAACTACCTGATATAACATTCTCCACTATATGGGGTAAGCCTTAAAATATCTCTTATCTGCCCATCTAAACTATCATCGGTGATGTCTGTAAAGCTAGCCTCAACTCCATATTCAATCCTTCTCCGGTAAATTGTTTGTTCTGATACACCTAGGAAGCTAGCTATACTTTTCCATTTCATTCCGGTATCTCGTAATTGCTCTATCTGTACTTTGGTTATATCAAAACAAGGCCTCCCTCCCGTACTTGACCGGAATGAAATAACTTCTCTTCTATTCTCAGGAGACGTGTAATCCAAGATCGCTCTTAGCCTGCGTATTTCCTCTTCTATTCCAACACTTAATCTTTCCAACAGCGAGACAAATGAGGGCTGAGGTGATAGTAAGTCTATCGTGTCGTCATATCTTTCATTGTTAACGGCCACGAGCATTGCTGTAACAATTGGAAGATTTCGTTCTAACTTGCATTTACAATGTTCCAAATCAAGAGTATCATTAAGTACTATAGCAATTTCTAAATGGCTAAACAATGCATCCAACATTTGGAAAAATTCAGTAAGTTCTTCATTTGCTTCGAAATAAGTTGCATTACTAGCGGACGCCATCTTGGGAAATCTCGTTACAGTTTGTAAACAACTCGTGACCTCTTATAAATCTCGTTACACTGTTACAGTTTATAAAAAAAACTCGTCTTATAAATCTCGTCATATGAAACTCGTCATATAAAACTCGTCATATGAAACTCGTCATATAAAACTCGTCTTATAAATCTCGTCATATGAAACTCGTCATATAAAACTCGTCTTATAAATCTCGTCATATGAAACTCGTCATATAAAACTCGTCATATGAAACTCGTCTTATAAATCTCGTCATATGAAACTCGTCATATAAAACTCGTCTTATAAATCTCGTCATATGAAACTCGTCATATAAAACTCGTCATATGAAACTCGTCATATAAAACTCGTCATATGAAACTCGTCATATAAAACTCGTCATATAAATCTCGTCATACACAACTCAACAATAATAATATAGTTTTCACACCGCATTATAGTAATCTCGAGTACCACTTTACGAATCTCGAATAGACTTATAGTAATTCTAATACGACTTATAAATCTCGATACACTTTTGGTAGGTTTGGCTTGCCATACGTGGCGATGCCTCTTCCATCTACCGTGACGTGCTGGCAGAATACTATTAAATTACTTACTAATTATGTATTCACGACAAAATTTCGCTAAATTTTATCGACTTTTCTTTCGCTATTTGTGTCATGGAATACGACAAAATTATCGGAGAACACAAATGTTATTTCTAGAACAAATTTTAGCTTAAAACTGCTAAATCTATAAGTTAACTAAACAATATATCACTGTCAAATGTGCGTTTTAAATAATTCGAAAATAATATTTGCTGTTTATTTCATTAAAATGCAAACTCGCAGATTTTAATATCTAAATATTTTGACCGATGCATTCGCATCGGTTGCATCGGTCTAGATCCGCCCCTGCGGCTAACCTGACGTTTACTCCTCATTTGACTCTGAAGATGACTACCGCTAAGGTTGTCAAAACGTCAGTCACAACAACAACAAAAACAGTCCTTCTCAGGGCTATACCAACCTGGACGATCTACATTTACAAACATGTAACGACACTCCCGGGTTCAAACCATTCACTTTAATATGATATTAAAATATGAAACGAAAATGTTTAAAATTGGCACCTAAAAATTTAAATCTTATTACATACTTTATTGCCTTTAAAATAAGGACAAATCGGTTTTTGAAACCCAAAATCATTCGGCCAACTGGCTATGACAAATATCTTTCAAAGAGACTTTCTCGCAATTCATTGAATAAAAGCTCGTAATAGACTAGAACCTTCTTCGTAACATCTGCTAAAAATAACGGATTTTACTTGGCCACGTCCAGAAAATCTAAAGCAGAGAAAGTCAAAGTCGCACGAGTTACTCTTGCAATTTTCATCGTTCCCGTTTGCCTTTTTTGTGTTTCCTATTCCTTTCCTCCAATTTCCTCCCCTTTTTTAAACTAACGCATTTGAAACTGTTCAGTCAACACGCCATGCAGGAGTTAATGATAGGTAAGTTGGACGTAACGTCCTCTTGAAAAAAATAAAGATGAATGCATCGAATCTAAGCGGCGCTTTTCCAAATGAGTCACTTTGGCCACACAATGGGCTTTGACATAACTCCATTTGGAAAGAAAAAGTAGTAAGAAATGTAGACTTTTATAACTCTTATGACAGCGTTTCGAGTCATTCGCTAACGTTATGTCAGTGTGCTTAAAGTAGTTGGTGAACGGTCTTGAGTACCAACACAGAGAAAAAAAAGTTCAAAGAGATTTAAAGCCAACGAATATTTTGGAGTCTAATCAGCGTTACTTTCATAGCAATCATCATCATCATCATATCTTGTCGCGCCAAGGGGCGATCCAAACTCGGGCTGGAAGTTTGGAAGTGTTGCGCGTGTTGTAGCAATCAGTCGAAATCAGGGACGGCACGTGAAGCCTTGCTACTTGTCCCCTTCATAGCAATGATTTTGCGGAAATATATCAAAAATCTCCGGTTTTATGCCAAGTATTTGACTTTAGATTGAGTAGATCGTTGAATGTTCAAACTTGGCTATCGTAATATCGAGAACTGACTAAATTTACATGGTTCTCTTGTTTATATGGCACCAGAAATCCTTCATCGATCAACAAATGCATGTCTGGATAGCTAGAAAAAAGCGGATATTGAGTCCCTAGGTACTGTAGCATTTGGAATAATAAATCCAAAAGTAAGCTATCCTTGCTGTAAAGAATTCGAATACTCGGTGGCTTTCTTCGGACATTAAACCTTTTAAAGTCAGTTGTCATCGAAAGACTACAATCAAAGCACTGCATATGAAGGTGCTGATCTTGATTTTGTCGTAAGTGATGCCAAGGACATTTGCCTCAAAGCCAAATAATCACGAGCAACATGTAGGACACAAAAATGACAATGTATACTAAAGCTTGCAACTTCTAAACTATCCGTATTGGAGATGCGTTTATGTAAGAAGTCATCAAAGGAAAAATATTTTGTGCAAAAATCTTCTGTGAATGGCAGAAGAGATCATCACTAATCTCCTATTAAAAACAAACGATCAACAAGTTCATTTGAAACTATACGACTCTTCTGAAGCTAAGTTAATTTCACAGCAAAACAAATTGATCAAGTCCTCTAACCGTTTGAGAGAAGAGTGCATATCAGGCAATGGTACGTTGTCAAAGGTCGGTAGGTATGAACTTTTTCATGCTTTAACATGTAAGCAAGTAAACAATGAGAAATCAGAACTTTGATTATACATCCGCTGTCCATACACACTTTTAGTAGGAATACATCACAACTCATTGATCGATACACATCCTGTAGAGGAAGATCTTGGTGGAGATGATAATGACATCCACGTGGCCACAAAAGACCTGCCATTACATTCTTGTATGTTTTTAGTCAATTGGATGTTGAAACGTCTGAAATCAAGTGGATTGAAAGAGCAAGAAATAAAAAGTCCAGCGTCTTTATTATCGAACGCATTTACAAATCTTTGAGACTGGTAAGTGACCTTTACCATCTACACTATAAGAGTTGTCTCAAGATTCACAAAAACCATCATTATGCTTCTGACCGTGTACTTGGTATGGTAAATAGAAGATTGCCATTTATTGAAATCAACAAAAGTTCAGACAATGGAAGTATCAACAGTGATGAAAGAACTTCATTGGCTGATTTCACTTACTGGGTCACACGAAGGTATACGTCATCGTGATGATACTCAATTTCAATCAGAGGTTGGTTGCTATTCAGTTAAAAACAATGTTGGTAATTTTGTTGAATCTTAAAATTTTAGAGTTAGAGCTGGTGATCAAACTTTGAAAAATCATTTGTTCGAATGTGGCAAGTATAAAAGAATATTGCCAAGACAAGCCAAAAAGAATCATCAATTGTATTGATCAGGTAATATCGACGGAGATACAAAATAGATACTATTCTATCATTACAGATGAAGCTGCGATTCTTGTCACAAAGAACAGTTGCCCCTTGTTCTATTATTAGTTGATTCTTTAATGAATGCAATTTATACACTCACTGTTAAAGTCATCGACTAAATTCATCTGTCTGTAACACTCTTTTTAACATTGAAATTAATAATAAAATGTTATTTGTTGTTTCTAAAGCTGCCAATTTTATCAACATATCACAGACACGCAGCATGCCCCTTGCTGAGCACGTGAACAAGTCAGATGTTCAGACCAAGAAGGCAAAACTGGTAAGTCTTTGTAAAACCAGATGGGTTGAGCGAGTTTATATTCTTGAAACGTTCGAACGTTTATCCCTTTAATCGACACTCTTCAGAACATGATAAACAATGTAAGCGACGAGGTGAAGCCTTCTCTTGCTGCTGATGCTTCTCACTTACTTTCATTAGTCACTCAATTTCATTTTATTGTTGCGCTAGTTTTTACAAAAAAGATTCTGGATGCTACTCTTCCAGTACGCAATTGTTACATGGAAAAACTATTGATGTTATGGATGGTTTTCATTTGATAACCACTTTGAAGAATGATGTAGTCAACATGAGGAAGAGCATTGATTATTATCATTGATTTTTAACAACGGCGATTTTGCTCACTTTGTAACCCTGCAAAAATTGACAGTTAAGGTATTCCAAAATGCTTGAAATCGATTTCTAGCACCTTATGTTTCAAAATTTCCCAAGGGAGGATGTCCGGCGTCCGCTGTTTTATGGCTGACGTTTGAAAAATTCTAGAACCGCCTCTGGTGGCTCATATACACTTTAACCCATGATTTAGTAATCAACCAATAACATGAACCATACGACGCATGCACATGGTTTGAATTTCTTTGTCCCCTAACGTTGCAACCACTGGTCTAATTATTTTTCTACGTTTCTAACTAAATAGATGTATTGCTTTCATT